TACACAATCAACATTATCATATATGAAGTAATTACGTTATCCTTCGTAAAGTAATTATATATTCTATGTTCGTAAAGTAACTATATATTCTATGTTCGTTCACCAACATTGCCGAAAACAGATTGTTTCGAATCATGTTCATTCTCATCTGGTTTAATTTTGTTAAAAATATTGCAGTCATCATCGAGAGTTACGGATGGTGTCTCGTCGATTGCAGGTGCGGGTATGCATTTACGTTCGATGATATTCTTTTTAATAGCATCTTCAATCTCGATTACGTTATCTATATTATGATCATCGTAATTTGTTGTTGATGCCGGAAAATGTGTGGAAGATTGTGCTTGCACGAATCTATGCTCATTTTTCTCAAAAGTCAGGATTTTAGGCGCATTTATATCTTCCATAATTTTCTTGGTTGTAATTATCTGCTCGTCTCTCTCGTTTTGTTGAGCGGATTGCGAATTTCTTTTCGCCAATATAATCTTGGTATACTTTACAGTAGGTTGTATCAATCGATTTTCCAATGGCATTCCTATCCTGCTTTTTGCCGAGATGTTACTGTTCTGCGCTCGCGTCTGTAGGATCAACTGATTTAAGTTTTGCACAGGCATATTGGGACATATAACGGCCTGTGTAGAAGTAGCCCCTAATTTATTTGGTATCTGTTGCAGCTTGTCTTGCTTATTGCTGATTAAAACTACCTTGGTGGTATTGTTCAATTTTGGTCTCTCCTGAGATTCCTTAGCCAGCGTCGCTTGTGTTACTACTGGCATCTTGTTTATGTTGCTCAAATTGTCGTCGTCTTTGGCGAATATTATTGGTATATCCAATATATTTCCTAGATCATCGTCTATATCGTTTGCAATGTTTCTCTTCTGAATGCTTTGGGACTTTCCTTTTTGAAATTTCTGCAAGTTGGTGGCGTTGACTGTAATCTTTGGCATTGTCTTCATTGATTTTTGTGAGATTTTCAACTTGTTGGATAACGGCAGAAAACCGGAACTTTGACTATTAAACGGGACTATCATCGACGAAGGCACGCTTCTATTGTGAAGGGAATTCTCGACAATGACTATGTTACCACACGATGTATTATGGGAGTTATCAGTACTATTGGACACTGGTCCTTGTCGTGGTAAGTGCGCCGACTTGGATACGTCCAATAAGTGAGAATCATTGCTCACTCCCATCTCTTCGATCACTATAAAATATATATGTATATTTGGTTTAGATCTTAAAAAGATATTCGTAAAATTATCACATATTATTAACATGCAACAACATCCCGAACACATTTCCAAGACGCTATACCAACATTCGATATTTCGATATTATTCTTTATGATTATAAAATAATTTCTTAAATATTTAATTGTTTGAATATTTTATTTTTGATATTTAATTTTCCAAACATTTCTAATATTTAGCTTTATATTTAACAATTTAATGTTATATATGAAAATAATGTATTATTTTATTTGATAAGTCAATGAGAAAATATCAAATATTCATTAAAATGGACAGATAAAAATTTATATTAATAAAAATTATTCTGACAAAAAATGTTAAATAATTTTTTATACTTAATATCCTAATTTACTATAAAAATAAATATTTATCGCTGCTCAAAATATCCGATATGAGTAATGATATTAATTAAATTCCCCATAACCAATTATTGAAAACTACTTAGATTCGTTACATTTTACTCAAAATGGACAGGATTAAGGTTGGGAAGTAAACAAATTCGAATTATGTTACAAAAAAATATTTATTGAATACAAAATAAAAGGCATTCTAGTGTACAACAATATTCCTTTTTAATATATTTAAGAATACTTGACAATACTTTACTGTCACGTTTATTCATAGCTGTTAATATCATTTATAGGAAATAATATAATATTACCTATATCTAAATGTATCTACTATATACAATCACATTGCCAATTGAGAGATATATTGAAAATCTCCTCAAATATTTACATGTATTTGAAATTTTTTTGCAATAATAATTAAATAAGTAAAAACTATGTTGTTAAATAATTCTAACTACTTTAATTACACAGTTAAAGAAAAAATATATGTACAAGAAAGTAAGAGCTTGCAAAGTAAAATAAGTTCAGCATCAAATTAAAATTAAGCAACCCTAGAAGAGAGGATTTTAGCTTTGCAGAGAAAATTCATAAAAATTGTGAATCAAATAAATTAATATGTATAAATAAACATAAATTTAGGAATTGTTACGTAATATATCTTTTACAAAAAAAAATATATATATATATATATATACGCATCTTCCAAAAGTATATTTTTT